GCTCAGATGGTGCATGGGGTTAAATGACCTGCACCAAGCCTTAAAACTTGTTTTTATCAAGTATAGAGGCACCCCCCCCACCCCCACTGCTGCCTTCAGAACTAGTACTGTATTTTAAAGATTTTCTGTTGCTCTATCGCCAAGGAGCAACGTGTGCAGCCACATGTGTAGAATCTCTACATGCCTCATCAGTATTAATAATAAATACTTTTTTTTTCCCCAGACATCTCTTGCAAATGAGATGGGTCTCAAATGGATCTGATCTGGTAAAGATATTTAACAAATTGAACAAACTACCTTCAACAGAAGAAAAAAAGAAAATAAGCAAGCTTCCCAAATGTTCCCAGCAGTTAATTGCAAACTGGAGTGAAAATGTCGCGATTGACGGCAGTGAACGACAATGTTTTATTTTAAAACTTATTTTAAAACAAAACAAATGTTTAAAAAGTTTTTTTACACTATCGTCAATAGCATGATCACGGTATGTTTTTTTCCCCAGGTAAGGCCCACTGAGCTATATAGCTCTTTTTCAGAAGCGACCTGGCCACAAATGATAGCTCAACGAAGTGACTTATGTGGAAATTTATCGCAGCCAAATATTCAAACGCATGTTTCTAAAAATTGGGAGAAAAACCGAAAGACCAGGATAAAAATCCACGCGACCACGGGGAGAACATGCAAACTCCAAATATACAGGCGTCAGGGTCGGGATCAAACTCACGACCTCCTGCATACCAGGCGAGGTAGTTTACATTTCACCATCTCGGCGCAAACAATGCCTTAGAATAAATAAACAACACAATAAGTGATGTTTTAACGTGCTAAGAGGATCCATTTCCCAAAATGTCCTCTGTCTATGTTTCTTTTAAGGCCACAGTGTTATTCATGAATGTGTTAAGTTTTTTTGTTAATTGTGCTTGTGCACCACTTTCAACGCAGCATCACCAAATAATGTGAAAACACTTAAACCACAAATTGTTGTGAATGCAATATAATGTTTACCTCCTAAATGTAAAACCACATAATCACCACATCATCTTTCTTCAGTAGATTCAAATACAAGCCCTCAAAAAGCACTTTATTTTTCCAACACCATGTCCCATTTACTTTAAATCTCCAGTAACAGGACCATGACCTTCAAATACGAGTCTCTATTCATTTCATTTGCAAGTAAAAATAGCCAACTGGTTTGCAGGACATGCCAGTCAATGAACCAAAAGTAATTTGCTGCATGAAAGGTTGGAAAAAAAAGGTTACAATTTCAAATATTACACCATAAACACTCTAAGGGCCAGTGAACATGCATTCATTTCCACATATTTTTGTAAAGTGCTTATTCATATTCCTGCATACCTCCACTCAGAGTATGTTAAAAGCTGAAATCTATGTCTGCAAAGTTGTTGGACAATACTACTTCTAGCCTTGAATGACGATATATTCTGCTGTTCAAACTTTTCATACTTGCTCATTTTCCAATGTTATCGTTGTAACAATAGTTCTGGCATAATAGTTTTGGAATTACAACGGTAAAGCAGCTGCACCCAACATCAAAATTTGCCTTAAGCAGGGCAATTCAAGGACATTGCGTACTGGGCCGAGTGATCAGCAGGGACAGACAGTTTTGCTGGCTTCCAGATTGTTGCGAGTGAAATCAGGTGGCAGTTGTACTGTCATGGAATACACTGCACACACAACATTTTTTCCCTTCATCCGAATAAATGCATGGACAGCCAACATATATCAAGAAGCAAGCAGTGAAAACTGCTTACATGTTCCGAAAATTTACTTGTGATTGAACGACCTGCTGGGAAACATACAGCATGATTTTGCTTTGCAAGCAACTTATTTTGTCTTCATAAAATCGAGGTAATGTGGCTTACCAAAGAACAGCTGCCAAATTCGTGTGTTATAAAATGCATGTTTCATAAATGTTAATTATCAGCATATGTTTGTTCGTTCAGAAAAGTGCATGTTTTAAAATAGACACAGACATATCCATGTGCTTAGATGCAAATGCACAGCACAATAAAACCATATCAAAAGGATAACAAAGACCAAACAACTCCAAGCGAATATGACTTTGTGTCGTGTCCAAGGTATGTTTTAGATGCTGTACAATCCTTGCCAATATATGAGATGAAGGTGACAGGATTACAAATATATAGAATCCATAGACCTACAAATTGGTTGTTCCATTTGTCCTTAGCCGTATTCTTTCTTGCATGGACGCTAGATTATTACTCGTCTCTCAAGTTAAAACTAAAATAATGAACTGCAGACAAGTTACTACACTAATGTATACACTATTTGGTAAAACTGTCCATCAACATGAGTAATGACATAATTAAATAAACCAGAACATTGACAACTGGAAAGCAAGCTATGCTTTTACGTAAGTAATCTGTAAAAAAAAAGTTATTAAACATTTCAAAAATCCATCAACATAAACTGAGCATATTATTATATCGATATAACGGTGCTAAATTAAATATACAAAACTATTTGCCCGTCGATACGATCCACTGACACGATTTTAGTGGAGATTTAATTCAACGTTCGATTATGTTTGTGTTGATGAAGATCGCTTGTGTTGCGATCGAAACGCCGTGGGTTTTTTGCTTTTATTATTTTCAATTCATGATTTTTTTTTCTATCTACGTGACTTTACCGAAAGAACCAAGAATATGGCTCATATCTTTAGATGCCCGCAAAAGTTTGAGAGAGAAAAATTCTGGTTATTTCGGTCGCGTTTTCTTTTGTTATTGTTTCCATCTACGTGACTTTACCGAAAGAATCAGAGAGTATGGATTCCTGCAGTCACGAAAGGGGCCCGTCAATGAATGACGTCACGCGATTTTGACCGATTTTTGACCCACCCCTCTCCCGCCCTCGTAACACGCGTCATAAAAAGTGAGACCCCCCCTCGAATATGACGTCATAAAGCTCTGCCCCCCCCCCCCAAAACCATATTTCCATTTTGAAAATAAAACATGCTTCAAATCACTTTAAACTATTGTCATTGTAGTGCGTATTTAATGTGGCGCTGCACTCTGATGTTGTAGGAGAAAACACGTATTAAAAAGGAGGCATTGGAAAGCTGAAATTTAGCATAAAATTCACTTGAAAATATTCAACGTCTAAATAAAACTGCAGATGTCAAGAATATTATATTGAAATTCTCCTATAATTATAAAATATTAAAAGTAATTATAACTATAAAAAAATACTTTAAACTTTGTAGTAGAAAGAAGCAAAATGGAGAGTACAATTATAACAATCACATATTAATTCCACAGAATGAAAAGCCCTAGTGGAATCATGAAAATCAAAATGTTTAATAACAATCATAAAAAAAATACAAAATGTATGCTTCTCCATTCTCCATGGAGAAGCAAAATGCTCTTTCATGGAATTAATAAAAGGTGACCTGAGTAAATTTAAATAATAAAACAGTTAATAATGAAAATTAATCAAAATTAGTGTTGTTCTAACAATTATATTGTTTATATTTATTTAAAATTGCGCATTTTTATGTGACGTCACATTTCTCAAACCCCCCCTCCCCCGCTCGTCACACATCGTCACAAATGCCTGACCCCCCTCCCCCCCCCCCCACCTAGGTGTGTGATGTCCTTTATGGAAGGCCCCAAACCTTCAAATCAAGTCTGATTATGACGCTTGAAAATTTTAACAAAAGTTTAAACACCCCAAAGCATTAAGAGATGCATGTTTGGGATTATACTTAAGAAAGGGACACACGAGTCAGGGCACAAAAGCAAATGAGACACATATGGTCTGCTAAGGGCAGTAAGAGGACTTCGGCAGAACTATATCGGCTGAACGCAGAACGGATGGTTAATGGACAAGACTGATAACGGAATGCCACCAATGGGCAAAAGATGTCTGATATGTTCTATGGAGACTACGGTACTGTATTGTATACTCTAGACCCACTGTTTTTGTTCACGTCTCATAAGACGGACTTACAACACATTCCTGCGGAGGGAGCTGGTAGGAACGTTGGGTTGGCCAGGGTCAATGGCCAGGGTCAACAACGGCGGCACCACGTGGTGTATTCCGCAAATATGCCCGACTGTAAGGGCGAGCACAAGCCGGCGTGAGTAACTTAAACGTTGAGTTTTATAAGGGCACCACGGGGTGACCAGCCCCTCCCCACCCAGCCCCACCCCTCCCAACCCCCACGCAGCCCCTCCCCACCCAGCCTCTCCCCACCCTCCCCTCCCCACCCAGCCCCACCCTCCCCTCCCCACCCAGCCCCTCCCCACCCTCCCCTCCCCACCCATTTTTGGATGCACGACGGACGGACGCAATAATCCCCTGTGGGCTGGTGGTGTAACCAGGAGGTTCCTACCAGTATAAATCTAAATTGATTGTGTATTGAATTGCAATGAGATCATATTCCTGTACGGTATCTCTTTAGCTGTTGCTTGACTGACATTCAATTTGCAAACAATGAGGTATAAGTGTGACGGTTGGCACACTGAACTTGGCAACTGTCGGCGCGAGAATTTAAATGGTCACGTTTTTTCAAACATCGCTCTACCTGTCCACCCAGCAGTATAACTCGGTACACCGCTGTCTATCGACAGATAACGTGTGGTGGGATAACGTGTGGTGGGATAAAGTGTGGGTACTCCCACCTCTTCCCAAGACGTCTGACCAGCGTGGAAGAGTAGGCCAAATACGCTCTAGAACGGCTTTATAGCGCTCGTTCTGCTCGCAGTGGCGTATTTTGGACAGTCTTAAAAATGCGAAAACAAGTAAAAACTGTACATTTGCCATCATGACAACACGCTATTGCTTAATTCAGACAATAATAACTAACATGAGTTTATTATGGGTGAATACATCTGTATGTTAAACAATGGTCTGTAAAGAGCGCGTCAGCCCTGCAGAGGAAGGCGCGACCTCTCCGGCCGAACCCTAAGGCAAGACCGTAGGCTGCTGCTAAGGCCTAGCAAAACAGCGAATCTTCTTACCGGCTTTGCAACGCTTTCGGCTAGGCTCAGGAGCAGCCGATAAGCCGCTGGTTCCTCGTCAAAGTTGTGCTTCAGCCTCTGCGGGTGCGGAAACACGGGCGCATATTTTTCAAATATTTTTCGCCACAAATCCGGTAACGTCTCTGTCCCATCGCTCTTGGGCGCCGCCATGGTGTTAGTCCACGCGACTTCCATTGGCCGCTACCATCGCCAACAATTGGAGGTGCATTCCAATAATCCAATTGATTAAATGATAAAAGTCTACTTAAGGTATCTGTGTTTTTTAAAAACACTAACACTGTAAATATTTTCATCATATTTCAATCAACGTTATGTACTTTCAAGTGGTGGAATGTATATTGTCTGCCGTTCTGTAATTACGATCACCCCCATTGCGCACATTTGGGCTCAACCGTTACCATGGTAACAAATGAGCGTGTAGTATTCTTAGGTTTCAAACTAAATTCGCAGTTAACTGTATTCTTGGGTCTTTTCGGTTAAGTCACGTAGAAGGGAAACAAAATAATAATAAAAAGATCAAACAACAAAAATTCTCACGACGTTTTGCTGTGGTTTTCACACCTGATTATGATTGCTTGTGTTGCAGTCGAAACGTCGTGAAAATTTGTATTGTTTTATATTTTTATTATTATTTTATTGTTTCCTTTCTACGTGACTTTACCGAAAGAACCAAGAATATGAATCCCTGTAGTCACGAAAGCTTTAAATCAAAATTTAGCAGTTAACTGTTACTTCTCCAAAGCTCTGCTTTCGTAAAGCTAAAATATACTGCATTACACATCATTGCAACCACTTAATTTGGATTGGTTTGACCTTCGTACTGGATTTATTCATCTGGGCTGTGTTTTTGGCAAGCACTTGATTTACAATTGGAAGACTAAGTTAAAAGGGACAGATTTGGGAAGGAGGCATTATTGCCTGCTTATTTATATTCTCAACGATGCTTATGTTTATTTTGTGCATTGTATTATTCAATGTTTGCGTTGAACTAGGACATACATATGTAACACAGGGTCTTTACCAATAACATGTGGCAGTTCACCAGCATTGGTTTAAGCAAGCCTGACTGCTGATGAGACACTTTATGGCAAAACTGGTCCAGAATTTATTTGTATTAAACAAATGCTGCTGAAAGTATTCTCACTCCCAAAAAGCCCGTGAGCATGGCTGATGGAATGTCTAAAATACTTTATAGCGAGGAACATGTGTTTGGTGTCAAATATTGATTTAAGATTACACGGTACGAATCTGCAATGAATGTTAATAACAGATTGCGATGTTGCTAAGTGTCTTCCTTACGTCACCTGGACACAGTTGCTAATGTCACTGCCATTGAAATCCACAAGGCCGTTTGAGGTAGCTGCCCCTTGTAAATCCACGGGCACTCCTGCAGCCTCAAGACTTTATTTCAAATGTATTTCGACGGTAATCCGAATGGAATAAAGATCCCAGATTGGACAACCAATGTCTCTCTCCTTTTCATACAACGGCGTGTCAATGTCTACGCCGCTCTACAATGTCAAAGGGTTCCTTGATATTCGCAATAAAACATACGGTACAGAGGTGCAATCTACAAGAAATAACACAGGTCAGTGCAGGATTATCATAGTAACAAAAGTAGCATATGCTACGGGCCCGGACTTTCAAGGGCCCCGCACTGAATGCTTTCAAGCTATCAATTCTGGTTCAGTGATTCCGCACTTGCTCTATTACTATAGTACTTTACCGCTTTCAACTTTTATGAACGACTGGGTGTTTAAGGTTAGCGATTTGTCCTATTATCTGGCTGTATAGCAAAAGAAAAAAAATACTATTTACTATGCAAGTAAAACATTTACGTGTTTTTTTTATTTAAGGCCCCATTATAGCATATGCTACAGCCCCCGCACTGGCTTAATCCGGCACTGACAAAGGTGCAAGTGTAAGGTTAAGTGTCAAGGCCAAATAGCCAATGCACTCTAGATGCAGTGAAACTGTCATTTCCCTTTTACATGCCAGTGCTATTATCCAATCCCCGAATTTATTATGTGGACCGTACGTATGTAGTGTACTGATTCACAGACACTAGTAGGAGGCACTCTCTCCCTCTTTTATTCCGGCCTTCACAGCCATAGGGGATAACCACATACTGGGTCAGGACAGCCAACATGCTTCCAGACCCATAGCTCGAAGAGGCGAAGTTCCGACGACGGCAACACCACGAGTTCCATCCTGGATGACGGCATCCCCGACTGTGAGTCGGAGCTCGCCTTTCATCCTCCCAAACGTGGCCAGGCTCCGCCCTCGACCACGCACCCTTCTGGATCCCCCAGAAGGCTCCGGGCTTCGCCCACGGGTCCAACTGGTAGAACGGGCTGCTACCCCCAATCCCATTCTCTACCAGTCCCCAGCGCTACGCGTTCCAGTGACTCATTCTATGTCATTAAATGTACATCCTATATCACACACCATTCTTCCTATTCATAATATTACTGCATCTGTATTTGTCCACTCTGTTGCGAGCGAATAAAATGAAGTTAATGTATTTTTGTGTGGATAAGGGCACTTCATATAGTCCGTCCGCTAATAGCACAAATGAGATGATTAAATAAAACATTCGGAGGGATTGCGTATATGTTCTGTGTACTTGTTTCGTCTTCATTGTGGATTGTTTAATCATCTAGACAGTGTTATTGGTGATCACTTGATTCACATTTGGAATGCAGGTTAAATCCCCAATCAGAGAATCAGAATATTGTATTTATACTCGAGGAAACCGATGGGCTATAAACCTATTTTTTACAGATGTCCAGAGGTTGCACATTATCTTTTGGGTTCAGAAAATAGTTACTAATATGTGGAAAGTCAGCCCACTATCGGCTCAGGGTAACCAACAGAGATAAACACTTCTTTACGATAAATTTCTGCTGCACTGTGTACCCATTGTACCTTTACAGTCCCGTAGGAGGAATACCGTATTTTCCCACATACAGCCTTCATACGCATATAACCCGCAGACGCATATAACGCACAGACGCATATACCCCGCAAAAATAGCGTTTTGTATAAAACAAATTTCAGATAGCCCGCACCTCCTTATACCCCGCATGCATTCATATCTTTAACGTCGTTACTGCAGCTTAATTCCATCATGTTAATTCAAAGTTTACATTTGTAATACATTCCACTATCAATTGTGAACATTAAAACCATAACGTGCACAAAGAAAACAAACTAACCAAAAACGAGTGAACTTAAAACAGTAAATAAGTAACAAAGGTAAATATCCAATAAATAAGTAACACATAACTGGTACATAAGTAAGTAAGCGTACTGTTAGGCTTACCAGCATTCGACCTCATCATATGACCGGTAGTTACCCCTGTGCAGTTTTAGCACTGGTAGATTGCGCACTGCGCAGACAATAGCGGCACTACGGTAACGCCATTGCCTCCTGGCAACAAAGCCGTTGGAAGTTTGAAACAAAGGTCATGGTCGCGACTGTATACTGCTCAACCAATAGCAACGGCCTATGAGACTCAGCAATTATGATTCCGCGTCTGGTAGACGCTTGTTAAGGCCCTTCCCATTGTGCAATCCATAGCCTCAGTTGAAACTTTCGTACCCCCCTACAGCCACTGAAAGTATTACGGTAAACAAAGTGCGCCCACTTCAAACATTGTCGTTTAATTGTACAAACAATTCGAATCATAAAAAAACATGATAGCATGTGCAATTTTAGTGTTAGTGGTTTATTCAGCAGTGCTTTAGTCAAAGGTAAGTGTTGCATAGTTGATAGTCCTACCATGAAAAAATTAAACGAGTTATGACATGTCACACATGTTAAATATTTTTGGGATAGCCCGCACCTCCATATACCCCGCAGGGTCTTGTTTTGTTTGTAAAAAGTGGTATACCCCGCGGGTTATATGCGGGAAAATAGGTCATCAGTCAAGTCAAGCACTTCTACCCTAAGCTATATATCTACTCGCCCCCTATGAGAACACACGCTGCTACGTGTAGTGTGGCTACCCGAAAGTAGCTACCTCTTCCTCCCTATCTTCATATTTCTTGACACTTTGGTCCTGCTTTTCCCATGAGTTTTCCATTATTTTCCTTCTATTTTCCAATTATTCCCCCCTGTGTATCAGAACCATGTCTGAAGTAAACTTAACCTAACAATTTGCAGTGAAGACACAATTTTTTTATTTTAAAAAAAACCTAATTAAATAGGGTGAATGTATGTGTGTATATATGTTGAACTTCTTTCGCACTTTACGTAGCCAACCATGCTAATCGGATGTGCGGGGGAAGGACAACGAACTTAACAACAAAAATCAGTTCTGAAGAAATTCGTTTTCAATCCTAATATGGAAAGGAAGAACTTTCAGACGGCCGCAGAAGCACATCTGAAAGCACGCGATGCAGTGACCGTCTTTGTTCTATGGTTAGTCAAAAGCCACTGTGATGATGACCGGAGTTTGCAAGATGGTTTATGCTTCTTGATTAATGAAGCTTTGCTACACTACAGAGCCAAACGCCTGCACTGAAGATCAAGCTATGGATGCTCAAGGTACTTAATACACAATAGGTGGCATGAGTGTGCATGTTATGTTATGTGGAGAGCGGTATTGTAGCGGTTAGTGTGCTGTGCTCCAAACCTGGCGATCCAGGTTCGATTACCGCTCACGGCCAACACCAGTGACGATTATCTGAACCAGTCCTGGGCCTTCTCTAGGTCGACTCAGCCTCAAATGAGTACCTGGTGCGATGTATAAATATTGCCACTAGCGAGACAAAGGTGGCCGGGCGTGGTGTTGGCCACCCACCCCCTGGTGTGATTTGCCAGCCTTCATAGGTGCTCGCAAACAGCACTTGCCCAAACCGTCTGTTAAGGCTATGTGGGGGATATTTGTAATTGACTTTGTCATATATTTATGTCCAAGTAAAGCAATTATGTGCCTTTGCAGCTAACCAAGCACTAAAATTCTCATTAATGCTAATCACGTTATTTATCACTTGCAGGCATGGGAGCCCGTTGTTTACGTGCGTACGTGATATCTGTAAATGTGACGGGAGGCCGTGTTCTATTCGCCCCTGCGTGGCCAGCGTGAGGATGTAAAAGCTGGCGGGGGTCTGGTAGCACTGTTGGTGGCTGCTCAAAGATCACCCATGAACGACGCCAGCCTCTATCGTTCGCCTGCTCCCATCGGCCCAAACGAGCATCCCG